ACTGACGCTATTTAAAATCGCTGAGGGCACGTTGGAGGCATTTCAAGTGATCAACACGAGATTTGAGAGCAAAGAAGCCATTCCAGGAACGGGCAGAGCCACGGCCAAACCTCCTGTCCCACCTGCAGCAAGAAACGCTGACTGAAAACCAAGTGAAAGTTCTGTGGACCAGCTTGGAATAACTTATCAGTCATTTTTCATGACTGAGAGCATGTTTGGGACATGAGGGTCACCCTTTGAGGATTAATTTCTGAGATAAACAGCTAATAGCTGTTGGATGATTATGGTCAGAAGCAATTATTATGGCATTTTTCAACTGTTCATTCCTACAATAAAAAGTCACCAGGCTAAGTTAATCTGCAGTTTAATCTGACTCAAATCCAACCTGGTTTTGTCTCCTTCACTTGAGAGCAGAGCTCCTTTGCTAGTGGTTCAAGCCTTTTCTCATTTATACCCTGGACATCACCGGTGACACGAGTGAAGGCTGTTGAAGCTCCCTCACCACTCAGTCCCTCATGGGAACATCTTTAAATAATTAAGAAAAAAAAAAATCATAAAAGCCCAACTGATTTGCAGCCCCCAACCCCTGCAGCTCCACAGCCCGAGCAGCATTCCCACAGGGTTTCCCTCCTCCAGTTTGCAGGAGAAACTACAACTTTTTATTCAGATAATCGACTAAAAAAGCGTCCCATGCCTGAAGACCGAGCAGCAGTTCAAACTCAGTAGGTGTGCTGGGGAAAACACATCTGTCTGCACGGAAAAGGAGACTCACATCACTGCAGAACTGTCACTCCAGCATTTTTCAGGAGCTCTCCACTCACTTAAGCAGCCCTTGAGGCACCAGCCAGCGCGAGATACGGGATGACGGATGTTCCATCTCCACCAGCAAATCCTACTGTGATTTTAATTGAATTACAGCAGCCATTTTATTTATTTTATTTTTTTTTTTTGCAGAGCCTCTCCACTCTGTATTGCTTCCTTGCTCCCAGTGATTCAGCAGTTTATTCCTCAGTGCACTAATCCCTCCCCTCAGACACTTCCTCGCTCCTTTCAAGCAGTGCTTCTGACAGCAGCTCCCCATCTCTCTGTTGTTTAGGGCTCTCTCTTTTTCATTAAATAGAATTAAACAGACACGTTTCTTTGGCTTTCAGGCTCTACCACTTTTACCTCCACCTTCCAGCAGCTCATGAGCTGTCCTCACAATGTCCTGTTCCATTAGATCTTTCAGCTCAGCTGATGTCAGAAATTTTAAAAGGAGACAGAAGAAAGGGAACCTGAAGCCCAGGGGAAGAGAAGGAGGCAGTGACACCTGCCTGAAAACTTAAGCCAAGTGTGAAATGTTCTTTATTATATCTGCAAAATACATGTTTACTTTGATATTTACAGGGGACTCCATAAAGCTGCCAACTAGTTATTTGAGCTGCTGACTTAGAGGGTGTAGAAAGGTCAGGTAATAGGAAAAAATAAGGTAGAATAGGCAAAAGCAACTGTCAGGACCCACCTCTGCCAGAGCAGGTGGTGAAGAAGTGTCAGCAACTCCTATCATTCAATAACACCTTGGAATCCAGGCTGACATATCTTGACCCAGCTATTTAAACAGCAGCTTAAAACTGAGCCTGGTGACTTTGTATTGTAGGAATGAACAGTTGAAAAATACCATAATAATTGCTTCTGACCATAATCATCCAACAGCCATTAGCTGTTTATCTCAGAAATTAATCCTCAAAGGGTGACCCTCATGTCCCAAACATGCTCTCAGTCATGAAAAATGACTGATAAGTTATTCCAAGCTGGTCCACAGAACCACTGTTAGGGGCATTTTATCATCAAAGTTCCTTTCCCCTTAATCAAAGGCTAATACAACATGAAATCCTTAAATATGGGCTGCACCACGAGATAAACTCAGCAACCTTGAAAAGGCTGGGAAATGGCAATTTGCACACACAAACACAAGATTTAGAGCTCCCATCATAACCTGCCTCATCAATCACGAGCAACAGTGGCTTTAACAGGACTACTTTCAGAGTGTATTAAACTTCACGACATCTTAACCTTCTTGTAAGGCCACAATAATCTCTTTTACAATATCAAACGAGTGCAGAAGGGCAGATTTGCTTCGTGCCAAAATATTCCTTGTGGCACATTTGAGAAATAACGGCCCTGCTGCCTCACCAGACATCCCCTGGTGTTATTCCAGCCCCAGGTACCCACTCAGGGAACACAGACAACACACCCTCACACATATTCTGAAAGAAAACCACCCTCAAAGTTTTGCAAAGCTGCTGGAACGAGGCACCCATGAGTTAACATCACTCTATTCTAAGTTTTGTCCAAGTAGCTGGCTGGTGCCTTTTGTACTCATCACGTTCTTAGGATGAAGAGTCAAGCCATGAGGACTCCATCCTAAATATGACTCAAAATATTACCCCCAAAATCAAGCAAAATGTGAACTCTGCAGTGATTAATTAAAATCCAGCTTATATATATCAAAAAGTTGTCATTTCACTCTCCTGTAAAATCATCAAACTATCTCTGAGGTGCAACTGCCAAGAGGGCAGAGCCTCCTGAACTTTTAAAAGACAACTAAATCCAGCACAAAATGGCAGTTTTACTAATTCAGGGAAGAGAAAGCTGCCACTTCACTCTGGATGCCCTTGAAGACGGTCCCAATCCTTTCAAACCCTGCCTTAAATGACTGCTTTTCCAGACTGTATTCACTGTAATTTCCTTTCCTCCAGCTATTACCCAGCACATTCAGCATCAGGACATTTCTCCAGCACAGCTGTACAGTGTCTACTGGTAATATTTCTAATTAAAATGACACTCTAAGCCTGGTTTTGAATAGAATGCACAGATGCCACCAGCTTTAAGAGGACTGTTAACCTGTTGCTGGTTTAATTAGCTTGACAGGTAATAAAGTAGAATTTTGTAATTATACCATTACAATGCACAAATGTTTCCTATCAAATCGACTTAATTGAGTCACTTTGGCCAACAACAGCCAGTTTTGATTCACCAGAGCAGAAGCAAAACCCCAAACTTGGCTTCCTCAGGGCCTTGCTTAGGGCTTAGCAAGGGCCATGTGCTGCTGAGGAGTGGGGGTTAGAAAGTCCTGCCCTGTCCAAGAGATGAAATGGGTATAAAAGCTGAATTTGCAGTCCCCATAAGTGGAATTTTGTCAAGCACAGCAGTGTGTGTGACCACTCTCTCCTAAAAAACACTCTGTGCTTCATTCTTTGAAAGCACAGCACTGACCTCGAGGTTGCTGCTGGTCAGAGAGCAGAACTGAGATACACAAAGTTCATATGAGTTCACAAAGTTCATGAGTTCCCAGCTCAGGACATCTCAGCAGCTCGGGTGACATTCCTATTCCTCTCCCCACTCCCCACACACCACAGGAACCCAGTTCTGCCTCCCGGTCCCAGCCCCAAACATTCCACAGCTCATCACTGAACTCTTCATGGTTCTCACTCCCCCAGCACTTCCCCACGCTTGGCTTTTGTTAAACACCACTTCACTCCCGGTTCCAGCACAGAATCCAGGCATTCCACCCCAATGCCAGTCACATCCTCACTAATGAGAAATGGTTACCAAATAGTTGTGTTGCTCTGTAAACAAAAAGCAAATTTTCCCCCTCCTGTCTGCAGCAGTGTCAGCATTTGCAAGCCATTATTCCAGCAGGAATAAGAGTGTCTGCTCCAGCCCTTCCCACCTCCTATCACACTGGCATCAAAGGATTTGGAATGCAGAACACAGGGCTGCAGCCTAAAAATAATATCCTGAGATTTGATCCTGCACTTCTTATTCAGGCTCAATTAATCAAGGTTGCCTAACTCTTCACAAGTACTTTTCATCAGCAGATTGAAACCACTTTCCAAACGAAATGGGGATCAGCATCTCCTTTTTACCGTGGGGAACCTGAAAATGAGATTGCACCTGAGAAAGGGCTCTCAGGCTAATTTAGGAGTACTGTCCAAAGGGATGAGGAGTCCATTATTCAAAGTTATCTTTTATATTAAGAAATAAGCTTTTCCTTTCAGACCACTAGCAAGTGATATATCACAAAATTTATCATGCTGTCTTGGAGAACCTCACACTAAGAGAGCATTGCACATTCCAAAAGAATATTTACATCATCTCCATAGCTTCAGTTTTCATTGTGAACACCACCCAGGACTAAGCAGAAATTTCTGAATTAAGAAATTAAGTATTTTGATCAGAAGCCACCTGTAACCTTCTCTGAACAGACAGAAAAATATCACCTAAAGCTAAGAAGGAAGATGACATTTATATTTCAAATACTTAATTGTAAGATCTGAAAACATTTTCTTCTCCTTTGAAAATAACATCGTACAATTCATACGTAAAAGCATGTTGAAAAAAAAGCCCTTCAAGATAATTTCAGGTTCTATTGTACAAAACCCACCTCTCCACTAACAATACCGGTTCCCTTTGACATTCAAACTGAGATGCCATTAAGAAAATTTGAGTTTCAGAAACACCACAGGTTTGTTTGGCTAATTCAACTAGAGGGTCAATCGTTCAATGATTAATTAAACACCAGTTTTGAAAATCTCCTCACAAGACAAATAAGAGCCTAACCAGAAAAAAAAAAAAAAAACCTAAGCACTATTGATAACAAGATATCAATATCCTTTTGTAAAAAATCTATTCTTTAACTTATGTGCATCCTTTTAAACAGTGGCTCAGTTATAAAAATAGTCAAGCTGAAGACAAGTTGTTCTGTGTTATCCATAAACCCTTCCATGTAAAATTGCATAAATGCAACATATACACCCCAAGAACTTAAAGACAGACATATATTCTTTTAAAAAGGGTGATTAAAATCCACTGTCAGGGCACTGAGAAACTCTGGGGCAGTTCTTCAGTCTAAGGCAAAACAATACAAAGAAGATTCTGATATTTCAACAGAACGATGGCAAGAGTAAAGAGAAGTTAGCATCACCAACACATCAAAATTAGTATTAAAGAATCATTACCTTCTCCAGTGCATGATAGGTAGACTTCAGTCAAATTTCCAATACCTGAAAGTACAAATTCAGATGGGAAAAGTCAGTTATACTGATATTTTAATACATTAAACTCATTCTTGTTAAAGTTGATTTATTTTACAGAGAAAGGCTGTCTTGGATTATTTTTAGTTGGGTATTCTCCAAGTGCCACAAGACAAAAGCAGTAACCTGGTCAGGTGCTCTACAGAATTTTTCCACTGCCTTTTCAGTTCCCTCCACTCCATGAGTCCATTCACCAGCTCACTGCTCAGCTGCAAACTCTCCACTGGAACTACTTAAACCTTGTTTTACCAACTCTGACTTCAATAAAAGCTGAAACTCTTTCTTTCCCTGATAACTCAGTGCAGCTCTCAGCTGACAACCAACCAACCTAAATCCCAAAGGAAGGGCTGAAGCACAGCCCTTTCCCAAGGAGTTCCAGTACAACCATTGGATCATCCAAACCTCACACTAACTCAAGTTTGAAAAGTAGGGGAAAAAAATGGGAAATTTCTTCAATACATGCTTTAATCATAGAGAGACACGTTTTGGGTTACACAAAGAACATGATGGATGGAGAAGATATGTTTATAAAATTAGAATTCAGTGAGGACACCAAAATGTAGCAAACATTCTACAATGTAAGGAAATATAAGTTTTATATAGGCATTTATTTCTGCACTATAGGAGAAGCAGGGGAAAAAAGTCTGACCCTTTGCCTAAAGATAAGCATCCATTTCCTCCCTGGAGGGTTGTAGGTTGGATTCTCACTCAGTATGAACAAGTCACAACCAGAGGATCCCTCTGCTTCAGTTCAAGTCTGTAGTACAGTTGCTACTAAAATCCCTGAGAAACCCATATAATTTGGTATTAGAAAGGAATTCTTTGCTGTGAGGGTGGGGAGGCCCTGGCACAGGTTGCCCAGAGAAGCTGTGGCTGCCCCTGGATCCCTGGAAGTGTCCAAGGCCAGGTTGGACAGGACTTGGAGCAACCTGGGATAGTGGAAGGTGTCCCTGCCCATGGCAGGGGGTGGCACTGGGTGGGCTTTAAGGTCCCTTCCAACCCAAACCAATCTTGGATTCTATGGATACAAAAGGCTTCTACACCACATTCTGTACTAAGAAATTACATCACTGGTAGTTGAAATGCATAATTATGCCTTCATTTAACATATTTGCCCCACTCACACCCATCAGCAGCTTTTAGGCAGGACGTGGGGTGACACTTCCTGCTCTGCACAGTCACACTCATGGACCAGCCTGTCTAGTTTTCCTGGCACTATCTTCCACCTGAATTTGCTGGAGGGAAGAGCTCCCTTCCAGACCAAGAGGCCTGGAGGGGGAACAGGTGGGATCCAGCACCAGATCCGAGTCTGGGAAAGCTCTTCCATGGAGGAACAGGCTTCCAGGCAGGCAGAGCCAGATGGAGCCCCACCGAAGTGAGCACCGCGCCGGGTAGAGCGGATAAATATTTGACATTCAGAGCTACACTAATTAGACATCAAGAAGAAACGAAAGGTTTTGTACCAATCAAAATATTACTCTATTTACTGTAACTGTTCAACTTATCACTTCAGTCAGAGAAAGTTTTGGAGAACAACTTGCACGAGTTAAGAAATGCTCCAAGACCAACATCACTACGTATTTTTAGACACCTACAAATCCATCCCTTGGTGCTGAAAACAAAGAGGGAAAAAAAACAAACTGCAGGGGTTTTTTTTACTCTGAAAATTCTGTTCTTCTCAGCACTTGCCATCTCTAAAGTATCCCTGAACTTATGTGGGCACATGGGGCCAAGAGCCAAAGCAGAAGAGGTTTCTTACAGAACACCTGCCACCCAACCTTCAGAGCTGCATTTGCTTTGGGTTGTTGTTTTTGAAATCCCTGTCATGCTTGTGTGCATAACTGAGCTAGAACGGCTTTTTTTGGCACTTATGTGGGAGACTCTGGATCAAATCTTCATTTTTCTCTTCCCCCACAGCCCCAGCAAATGCAATTACTACCAAGCTCATTATTGCTTTGTTCTGCTGGAGCTGCTCCTGTTGGGTGGATACTCACCCGAGCAAAAATCTCATCTCCCTTATGCCCATCGAGGACTTTGGATACTTAATTTTGGGGTAAATGGTTAAAAAAAAATCCTCTACCTTAGGACTTCTGTCTACTTAAGAGATCAAGCCAGCAGCACAGACCTACTCAAATCCTTCAGAAATTTCAGATTCCAACCACAGAAACACTTTTATGGACAATTTCTTAGAACACCCTGCCTTGGCAGAGAGATACTGGCTTAGACCAGGGAACAGGCAAATTCAGAATGCAGTGACTTTGGAAATACAGTATTTCATCCCATAAGAATTGCAAGAGGCTGAACATTGCTCCTCATAAAAGCTGGTGATGTGGTGCTCAGGGACATGGTTTGGTGTGGACCTGGCGGTGCTGGGTAAATGGTTGGACTCAGTTTTAGAGGCTTTTCCAACCTTAATGATTCTGTGTTTGAGACGGTGATTAAAATAATTGTACATTATCCTCACAAGAAGCATTGAGCCTGGACTTCCAGGCTGGAAAACCTTCAGCATTTAAATTACACCACCCCCAAACATCAGCAGTGTCCAAGGAATTTTACTAAATAATAAAAAACCCCTCCTATACTGGAGGGTTTGGCCACAGCCTCCACTGAATTCTGACACACACCTTCATTCCAAGGGAAAACCAACCTGGAGCAGGCATTGAGGGACACACACTGTGCTCTCTCCTTTAGGTGACACCACACAAGACACAACACTAAAAACTTGAGTTTAGCAGGTTCAGTATTTTCTGCATCCCTTGTCAACAGAAGGCTTCGGAAAAAAAACTTCAGAACACAGGCAGGAAGTTGTCTCCAAAGGAAAAGGCAACAACACTCCTTTAATGCAGCTCCCCAGTCACCACTGCAGTCGTTCTTGAAGCTGTAACTTCCAAAAACCCTAAAAAGAAACTCAGTTTTGTGCAATCCTCATTTCATGTAAAGGAACAGCGCATTCTTCAAGGAAAAAAAATATCACTTAAGGATAGAAAATAAAAATAGAGAGGCAGCACTTCATTTCACAGAAATACTGTGTATTTGCACAAAAAAATTCCACTTTTTGTTTTGTGTGTGTGGAGGCAGTTCCTTGGGAGCTGGCACCAGGGAGCACTGAGGAGAGCCTGGAGAAGTGCTGATCTCTCATCTGTTGCCAGCAGAAATCCATACATCACTCTCCAAGTTCATATTGACACAAACTAATGCAGACTGAGCTGAAAGAAGTTATCCCACTGAAACCCAAGGTGCATTTCCCACCTGGAAGTTCATTAGCATAATATGCAAATCCTGACATTCCTAATGCAGCTTTCCTCAGAGCACTTGGAGGGAAGGCTGCAGAGGAAGGTGATGGTATCTCTCTGTGGGAGGAAATCAAGCCTGGTGCACAAAAGGGACATTAGTGATGCATCAGGCTCTGAATCCCCAACCAAAATTCTCCCCTGGTCACTTCAAACAGGAAAATAACCAGCAAATGAGTTGTTGTATCTTTTTACAGTCCCTGGCTCCATTCTGGGTTTAGGTTTATGGAACCAGCCTGCTCTGGCACTGGTTTTTATTGCCTATCAAACCACAGAGTTGTCCTATCTTCCAAATTCACCGTTTTTAAAAAAGATTAAATAAGAAACAACAAGAGTTTGCACCTCTCTGCTTCATTCCAGTCTCAAAAGCCCTCAGACTATGAGTTTGTCTTTATCTCAAACCCACATATGCTGTTTAGGAGCTTTCCCTGCTTCTGTTTTCTAATATGACCTTGATATTCCTCAAACCTTCCACTTTTTATACAGGCGATATTCTTCACTTAACAAGCTAAAGAAACAAGAGAACCACACTCCTGTAGACTATTAATAAGTCCATAACAAGTGTGTCTGAACCTGCTCTTGCTTATTTTCGTTCCCAGCAGTCCTACCAACCCTGAGGAGCAAAGATGTTCCCTGCAGCTGCTCTGCTGCCATCCCTATTCCTGCTCCTGGAGGACATTCCACGCCCACCCACCTCTGCTGCCTCCTCAAAACCAAAGCCAGAGGATGTTGGCCCTGAGGTACCACCCAGTTCTACCCCCTGGATCAGCATCATCTCCCAGCTGCAGCCCAGACTCAGACTTGCATCCCTGGCTTTGCCTCCTGCTCAGGAATTCCAACTCTGTTAATGAAACAATGGATTGATTGTGGGAGCTCAACGGAAGAGACACAGTTTTCTGAAGCAGAAAAGATAAATCCCAGACTCAGAAGCATTTCCTGAGTGTTTAAACACTGCCTAGTGAGTCAGCCAAAAGCATTTTGTGAGTGTCATCCATCTCACGGAAGCAAAACTCAGCCTAATCCCCCACCACCCCTCTCCCAGGGACTGATGGGTTTAACTTGCAAGCAAAATGCTGTCAAAATACAGCTCTCATGTGGTTTATTCCAACAAAAAGAGTGAAAAATGAATATTTCAAACTGGTATTTGGTCTCATCAAGTGTGGATGAGCATTCCACATTTATATTGGATTTTTAGGCTTTACAGTGCCACTTGTTGGATGCCATTTGCTTCACAAATGAAAAGAACATTGACCTGCATGGCTGCATATTGATAATAAATCTACAGACATCAGAATTCTTTGGAGAGAGTGTCAAAGAAATCTCAGAGGGATTCACCAGCTGGCTCATAAACTGAACTTGTAAACTACATAACCCTTAAAATTGTCTTTGTTACTTAAAATGAGCTTCCCTGCCCCATCAGAATAGACTTAGGAAAACTTACTAGCTGTGTACAAAGGCGGTTGGATGTTCTTCCAAAGCTGTTTTCCTATGGAATTCAGGGGAAAAGTCCATATGTCAGGAAAAGCCAAAGAGGCTGCACTGGCAGAAGATGATGTGTTCATCACCTTTCTACTGTAAATGCAAAGTAATGAAACCCATTAAATTGGTTCTCATTGTCTGTGAGCGATGCCTCTGTCTCTCCAAAGTGCTGATTAAGAGATCCTGTCCTCATTTGCATCC